GCAACACCAGGGCGGAGAGGAAGAGGAGCAAACAGCACTCACACAATCCCCTACAGACCTGAACAAGCAAAAGGCTAACCCACGATAATTACCAGGTGACACTCACTACAACCCACCTACAAGGACGATACTGACAGGCAACGAAACTGCACAAGACTACAAGCTCTATGGCCAGACTGATTCGCTATAAAATAGATGTCTTTTTGAAATCGTAGCCAGTTTAGCACTATTGTTGTCTTAATATCCTAGCATAACGTTTAATAAATTGGCTTTTGCTAGACTGATGTTCTTTCTCCACCCCCCCCCCATGTTCTCTTCTTGCTCCCATCAACCCACTAGTAATTCTTTACTAGTTGGCACCCAGGACATGCGCATAGAAGGACGCACTACCCTATAGTTCAGCATGTCCCCATACTATTACCTATATGTTGGCATAACTTAAGTCTGGAAACCTCACTAATTGCACATAGTGTTATGCTGCCTAATAAGCGATACCTGCATCATTTAGGGGGATCGTGCTGGCCTCTTGCTCTATTTAAGCAACCTTAACCTAGACAAGCATTGCTAGCCTTTTTTTTTTATTATTGCTATCATATGTTTTACTTTATTGAAGTAATGAAAGCATTTGTTAAGGGAGCCCGCTACACACAACAGGAATGCCGTTACATTTTCGCTGTAGCTGGCATAATATTGTTAAGCCTGTACTCCAAAACAAAAATGCGTGATTCTCTATACCACTGTTTAGCCTGTTTATACACGCGTATACGCTAGACAAGCAGGGTTAGTCAGCTTATTATTCTTATTATTCTTATCACATACTATAGTTCACTGACACAATGAAAATTTCGGCTAGTGGAGCCCGCTCAACATAAGACAAGAATTATGGTTCCACGTTTCTTAATTTTAGTATCTAATACCGAAACATCAACCAGATTGTATGATCAGCGACCTTTAGCTGTACCATATTCCATTTCTCCTGTAACTAGTATAATTCTGTTAAGCCTTTACTCAAAAACAAAAAATGTACAATTGTCTCTGCCACTGTTTAGCCTGTTTATACACACTTGTACGCTGTTGTGGCGTTTGTCAATGTTTTTGTACTCACCTGCGCAACAAAAATAAAGAATTTAAATAAACTGGGAGGAAAAGTAAAATAAACCTGCCCACTGGGACATTTTCTGTCAATACAGTGCCAATTTGTATTTATTAGCAGCTTATTCGCACACTTTGTTTAGAAACTCCTCTTCATCACTTTAAGCATTTATGGTTTAACTTTGAATCCTCAGAATTGTGGCTAATGCAGCTAAGCTGCTAAGTCATAGTTATAGAAAATGGCAGGGTAAACCCTTTCACTGGATGGCGCCGATTGCAGAATATGGACAATGTAGGGGCAGACACAAATATATATATATATGTTCAGCTAGGAGTAGACATTATAAATTTGAGATGATTAACCTGTGCCATGTCAGAAGGTGTGAAAAGTTCTTGCCTCAATTACACTGAATTGAGCTGCTCCAGGCGAGAATAGAACCTTCCATTTACGGTTCACTCACGGACAGTCGAGGCGCTTGAATGTCTGTACTCGCGAGTGTACTTAAAGTGAGTGTATGTAAAGCGGGGTATGCCTGTATAGAGACTGCTGCCATAATGAAAGCAGGAGACCTGATATAAATAGCTGAAATATTATAGTATTAAACAGTGATATAACATGGAAATACAATTTGATACATGTAGCAAGTATGATAGAATAGTTCAAATGAACAAGTCCTTAGAATACCATATATCTACAATGGAAAAAAACAGGGCCAATATACTCTGTTTATACTTTATTGTAGATAAAATAAAATAAAATAGACTCCCAAGATGACAGGACAGTGTGGTTAGTGGATTGGAGTCTAACTCCTATCAGCCGCAACCCCACTCTTCTGCTCCGTCCTAGTAGCCGGCTTGGAAGAAGCTTGGAGAGTGTGACAGTTAAGAAATCTGTCTCCGCTCGCTGGGTTCATTGGCGTGCGTTCCACTGCCGATCTTGCGTTCCACTTTGCTGTCCGGCGAGGTAGATGAAGCCTTACGCGTTTCGTGATCTTGTGATCACTTCATCAGAGGTATGCATCTCGTCGGCTCGGAGGGTTTTTAATCCTGCCTATCTTCGTAACGGCTTGGGAATTTAACCCTTGAGTGTCCTCATTAAAAGTTCATTAAAGGGTTTTCCACCCTTACATTATTAAATGTACAGGTAAATATTCATTGGATGGATAAGGAAAAATAGAAATCATTATAAATGATACATAAAACTTAGATACAGTAGGAACAACTATTAAATATTGTAGAGAGAAATACAAATAAAAATCACTGTGTGTTATACATAAAATTCTGGATGCAATAAGGATACATATAAAGCATTAAAACATTCAAACATCATTTTATTAATAGTGTATACCAGCGGTTCCCAAACTGTGTGCCGCAGAGCCCCAGGCACACAGGGGTGCTGCGGAATGTTTCCCGGTGCTATGATTATAGCACCGGGGAAACATTACTGCTGAACAGGGGCCTGGTCGGGTGTCGCGGTCCTTTAAGACCGCGACCGGGCACCTGTAATGTCGGCTGGCTGGGAGGAAGTGACAGTCTGTCACTTCCTCCCAGCATCACACAGGGAGACCGTGCAGGAGGGAGGTAGCTGCAAGGGGAAAGGAGCACTGGAGGAGCTGCTCCAGACTCAAACCAGCCAGCAGGATTCCATGTATATACACACACACACATACATACAGGGTGACCCAAAAGTAGGTATACAGTTGAATCAATGAAATTCATAACAACAGATAATATGGATACACATACACACAACAATGTGACAGTTAAATTTCAGGCACTTAAATAACAGTGTGGTAGTTGGAAAGAATAGTGGAGGGCATATATAATAATTATTTTTTTTTACTGTTATTGTGACTGATGACAGCGAACTTGAGGAGTCAAGAACCAAGAAAGTGCATTCTTAAGTAGTACTGGAAGACTGAAAATGGAGAGGGGGTGTGCAAAGCGTGGCAAAAAGCACTTGACACTCCTCCTCCAACACGTCTGACACTTTATCGTATCATAGAGAGAAATTTGAAGCAATAGTGCAGTGGTTAATGTTAATCTGGACGTCCTAGGATGTCTATGACAGAGGAAGATTAGATGAGAGTCACTTGGACATTCGTGGACTGCCTGAAAAAGTCCACACGACATGCATCTCAGCAGCTATCCATACCAATAATGTCCTTGTAACGTTTAATGTGGAAATTAAAGCTGTATCATCCAAGATAGTCTTCTGGAGGATGACCCGGACCGTCAGTTTCAATTCAGTGAGATAATACGTAACCAAACCTCGAATAACGAATTAGAGCTTCTTGATAAGATCATCTAGTCAGATGAGGCGCCTTTCAAATTGTCAGGTCACGTGAACAGGCATAACTGTGTTTAATCAGCAGATAAAAACCCTAATTTGACTATTAAATCTCAACTGAGCCAGGCAGGCGTCACAGTGTGGGGTGTACTGTCCAGTGAAGGTATTGTAGGACCGGTTTTCTTCGATAGAACTGTGGACAATAACAATTACCTAAACTTGTTGCATGACATGGTAGTGCCACAACTCAGAACCTTGGCTACCTTCGCCTAACTGCTCTTCCAACAAGATGGGACAGATCCTCATTATGCTTTTGCAGTTAAGGACTATATTGACAACACCTTCCCACATCATTGGATCGGGCAACGTGGCAACATTGAATAGCTGACATGTTCACTCGACTTAATACCAATGGACTTCCTTTTTTAGGGGTGCAGTAAAGAATAAGGTTTTTGCAATGAAGCCCTGGCCAAGGAACAAATAAAACGACTTAATCTTGGAAGCATTTAAGGACATTGATGCGAACCAGAATTGTGTCATTTTGTGTTATTTTACAGTGTACTGGACAGGTTCAAGGAATGTTGGAAAGTTAATGGAAAACATTTCGAAGCACTTACGAGATCAAATAGTGTTAAACAAATATAAATAAAATAAAATGCAAATCAACTATACTGTATAACTACTTTTGAGCCACTATAAATAAACAAATATATATAAATATATGTAAAATACAGAATCCAGCACACTCGCTTATTCACTAAACAATGATTTCAAATCTTAGAGGTTGTAATAGTTTTATTTAAAAACACCTTACCTAGGCAAAAAATAATGAGGGTTTAGTAACATTATATGATCATATATTGCATAAGCCTGCCACAGGCAATATCCCAAATCCCCCAGTAACCAGACGAAACACAGTTCTGGGAGTCAACTGACGAGTTTATTCACAAGCTCCAGTATTTATGTGATTCCCCATGCAAGGGGTTTCCTTAGTCACTTTACAGGGGTATTACAGTAGAGGACTACATGGGGAACGGAATATACAGAGCATTTCTCCCACCATGCACTGCTGTAATTGAGGGATACTCCCACTAGAATATCCTGTTAAGTGGATTATCCCTCCGTACAGCAGAACCGGGTTTTAACACAAAATCCATAACTTTAATATTATTCGTGTGATTCCCTTAAATGACCGTTCGGTAGATAGCTGGGGTCAATCGGTTAATGGGCGCCACACGACCCTCTGCGTGTGGGCTCCCGTTCAGTACCTTATTCGTTTCACGAACAGTGTCTAAAGTCACTGTTCGTGAAACTACCATATTTCAAACATACACGAATACATCCTTATATACAATAAAAGCAGACAACCTTCTGATGTTATGCAATAAGTCTTAAAGTGGCTAGTTTTTTTTTGTTTTCTTTTAACATTGATAGTGATTTTTTAATAGACATGCCTCTACTCGTGATATAGCGAGTAGGGGCATAATTTACTAATACTAAGTAATTTTTACTTAGTATTAGTAAATTTGGCTGAATGACCAAATCAGGTATTTCAGCCTTTTAGTAGATAGCTCCCTAATACCGTGGGAATTAGGGAGTTATCTACTTATTCATTCCTGTTATTATATTGACTGGCTAAGTAACTTACATTTTATATGAATGTACGTTACTTGATTGTTGTAAGTGTTGCAAATATTTACAGTTGAATACTGTTTGTATACTTTTTATCTGAAATTGTATACAATGTAACATTCTTCTTCTTTCACTGGGTAAGTATATTAGTACTTAGGCAATACTGTGCTTCAGAACTTCGGCACTTTGACAGCTCGGAACTTCGGCAACTTCGGCTTTTCAGCAATTCGGCACTTCGGCACTACTACACTTCGGAAATTCGGTAATTTCGGCACTTCGGCAATTCAGTTATTCGGACATTCGGAATATGTATGTGTGTGTACAAATGTTCATCAATCAATTCTACATATTCTGTTACCTAGTTATTTGATTCAACCCATAATTTCCATAATTTCCAGGGCCCTGCTCCAATACAATAAAAGGATATATGTGAGTGATTAGTAAATTAGGCAAGGCCTTGGACTGAGACAACATGACATTTCATTACAAAACAATCCCAGTTGATTTTCAGCAAGTTTTCACTCTACAAATATTCAGAGCAAAACTGTGAAAATAATAAAATGTAGAAATAGATGGGGCTCTCCATCAAAAATTCTTGTCCTGAAAGATGCATAATGCAGGTGATTGCTCTCAAATAGACTTGTACAATTAGCAGAAGTGGAGCAGGTGTGTATGCCACCCACTCCTGAAATCAAAGTGGAGCAATCTGAATATATCTCCGATTCAATGGTAATGTTTCACTGCACATAATCCTACACAAAATAGGACAAATACATCTGATAAATAAAAAAAGAGTTGCCATTGTCTGCAAGATTGGCATTCAACCATTATGAATGATGTGAGATACATCAAATTCCCTATCTGACAGCAGAGATCATAGAGAAGTAATTCGATAAGCCTCTTTAGAAATCTTAAAACCTTTACAATATTTCTTGTATCAAATGATTTATGGTTAATCTTATGAGTTAAATAAATGTTGAAGTTTCACCACAGTCGGACATAATTTACAATAATTTACACTGCTCTTACAAGCTAAATAAATGCAAAATTTTACCAGGGACTGATATTATATATGTATACATTATAAATTAGATAAAAAGACAAAATGCTCTTGGGATAGTTACAACAGAATCAAATGTCAACACTTATTTTTTCATATGTCTTAACTTATAATTACTATTAAAACATCTATCTCTTTAATCTGTGTTTTTATTCTCATCTAGGGGCTGTGGTTTAGTTTTCAACAGATTTGCTTTAATGGGATGTAGCTTAAAACGGTTAGTGTTTTCTATCAGTCATTTTCATTTTATAATGAGGCAAATAGCTTCCTTACTCTGAGCAGGGTGAGTGGGAGACTTGGCAAGTTTGAGGTGACAGAACCACTTTAAGTAAACACCACTGTTTACTAAGTAACTACGTGGTTTGGTTAGAGCTCACGGAAATAGCTGCAAAGTATAAGATTTGCAGTAATTTCAGGACTGTGATAATCTTTCTATTTGAATGCATTGGTCACACACACAAATTTTATTTAATAAATCACTTATTAGTTCAAAAAATAACATAATAGAGATTAATAATGTTAGTTACAGTATTTTTATAAAAAGGTTATGGAAATGTTTCAAAAACCTACCTTTGGTTTTGATCCAAACAAAAGGCAATCTGACTTCTTTCCAATCTTTAACCATGTATGTGCTGAGGTGAGTGAGAATCCTTCCTAAAAAAATAAAAAAAAATAAAAAAAAGACAATGCTGCTTTTCTTTATTTTACCAAAGTTTGTCATATAATAAACCTTTTTGCTGGGTCCACACTGCACTAAAATGTTCCTTAAGGATCCTCTGGTGTTGCGTTTTCATATCTATTTCTGTATCTATGTTTTGGAATGGAGGGATTTAAGAGGCATTGCCCACAGACTACAAAGATCAGTGTGCCAACATGCTCTCTTGGGGGAAAAAAAACAAGTTCTTAATCTCTTAATATTTTGGTCACTGACCACTATTTGAATTCCAGTTATGTTCTGAGCGATTAAAAGCAAATATCGCCCAAAAGAATTTCAGTTTTGATTTCAAATGGTCAATTAGTTGTATTTTCTGCACCTGAAGCTTTTCACAAAAATAAGGAATCTTGAAGCAATTAAACTGATAACAGTAAAATTTGTCTAAATGTGCTTTTTAAATAAAAACAAACAAACAAAAAACATTTACATTCAGGCAATATTGACCCATTAAAACGGAAAAAAAAAGCAATGGTAGTTGCACTAGTGAACACATTATAAGTAAAAACAAATCATTGCTGACCTACATTGTTGCCAAGAGTACAATGAGGTTCTAGCTGTTCCTCTATATTAATCCTGAATTCTAATCCTATAAGGATATTATATTTTCTGAGATACTGAATTTTAATCAAGCTTGCCAATGTAACATGGGACATGCAAGATTTAAATACAAGGATTCTTATGTAATAACAGTAGACATTATTTTATATATTAAATATGTGTATATTTTTATATCGGCAACTGTTTAGCAGTAGGCAT